GATGGCGGGGGTGGTATAGGATACATGGAGGTCCGGGGTTGGGAGTCTGTGAAGAGGGCAGCAGTGATGGCGGGGGTGGTATAGGATACATGGAGGTCCGGGGTTGGGAGTCTGTGAAGAGGGCAGCAGTGATGGCCGGGACACTAACGGATGCCGGGCAGGTATGCAGACGTCCGGGGTTGAATGCTGTGGAGAGAGGAAGGACGATGGCAGGGGTGGTATAGGATGTCGGGACGGGTGCGTGGAGATCTGGGAGGTGGAGTTCCTGGTGAGTTCACTGCTGACGACATGCTATGCACTCTGCAAAAGATTAGCAAAAAGGCAGCGTGCCTTGCCCCATACCCTGTGTAACGTGACTACCTTGCCCAGTACCCTGTGTAGCATAACTACCTTGCCCCATACCTTGTGTAACGTGACTACCTTGCCCCATACCCTGTGTAGCATGACTACCTTGCCCCATACCCTGTGTAGCGTGACTACTTTGTCCCGTACCCTGTGTGGCATGACTACCTTGTCATCTATAAGGTGAACCTGTGATTAAGTTTTCATCTTATTAAAAAATAATTAACGTCGAGTGCAGTGCCTACTGTTCCACTGCCTTGCATTACATGCACCGATATGGCGCCGATATCTTTGCCGTGTCACATTTACGGGACCGTCGCCCTGTCACGGGTTCTCTGCATTCTCTGGGTTCCATGAACGGGAGCGTGATTATTCCTGCTTGTGTGTGTAGTGGCACAGGACCACTGAAATCCACGATGGACGTCATCAAGGCTGCGAAAAGGATCTCCGAACTCGGAACGAAGCTCTGCAAGATCGCGAGCACGATCGCCGAACAGGTATGGCGCTCGGTGCACATCCCACATGACATTGGTGACAGTGGTGATTGCAGGAAGAGAGCACGGATTCTGAGAGGGCGTATGATTAAACAGAATTAGACAACAAGATCGACACATCATGTTGAGAGAATCTATGTGTGAGAAAGTTTTGATCGGGACGATAGCAGTACACGTTCCATACCATGATCGATACAAAATCCTACTGTGCAACTAGTTACTGGTACTTCTTACTGGTACCACTAACTACCGACAGTGACTACTAACCTCTTACCTGTTACTATTAACTAGTTACTGGTACTTCTTACTGGTACCACTAACTACCGACAGTGACTACTAACCTCTTACCTGTTGCTATTGACTAGTTACTTGTCCAAGACATCTAAAAGTTGTAAATTGTGAAGGGTGAGAGACTACATATCGGCGGTGAGCGGTGTCGGTCTGCGGCCTGGGTTGTGTGTGCGCTGACGTTTGTGCTCGTTCTTGCAGTGTCCTGACTCCAGCACTAAGAAGGACCTAGATGCGTATCTGCAGCGCATTGCTCTCTACTGCCATCAGCTGAACATCACCAGTAAGGTGAAGACCGAAGTACAGATGAACAGCGGTGAGCTCGTCGTGTCCGGGGTAAGTGAACGTGCGCGCTCGCCGCAAGGTGGCGTCACCGTGCGCGCTACGTCGGCATCGTCGTTGCTGACGTCACTGAGTAGGTGTTGTCGTCCCCGTAGGTTTTGTTGTTGTTGTTGTTTCTGATGATGTTTATGTTGGTGTCAGTGATGTTGATTGGTGTCATAGATGTTGATGATGTTGTTGATTGTTGTAATTAATGTTAATGTCAATATAATATCATTGATTCCACCCCCTCATTGTCATTATATTTTAACTAAAGGATATTATTGTATTAGCCCTTGTTACATTCTGTATAATCACATGTGATAGGTATGGTGGTGTTTGTGTCAGAGTGAATGTTACAATGAGTGCTTCTACTCCACAGCTTGACAGCGCGACTTCTCTCATCCAAGCAGCTAAGAACCTGATGAACTCTGTGGTTCTCACCGTAAAGTCTTCTTACGTTGCATCGACCAAGTATCCAAGGGGAACAAACAGGGTAAGCATTTTTCGTGAGTGGAAAGTTCTCTCGGGCGTCATGTGTATTATACTCTTCTACATGTGTGTAGTGTAGTGCAGGCAACAGCAGATATGGATGGTGGTCGATTTTTTCGTACGTGTTTGAGCCAGCTATCATGCGAACATACTTCAGAACCAGCTAACACACACGAATGATAAAGCAAACTAATATAACACACGATGACATGCTCATTTATCCTCGTAAGCGTTAAGATCTCGGGCGTCGTGTGTATTATTCTCTACTTGTGTGTAGTGTAGTGCAGGCCACAGCAGATATGGATGCTGGTCGATTTTTTGTACACGTTCGAGCCAGCTAACACGCGAACATACTATAAAACCAGCTAACACGCACGCACACGCACGCACGTGCACAGACACACGCACGCACGCGCACACGCGATAAAGCAAGCTGACGCCCGATGACACGCTCACTTGTCTCTTCTTGTCGTCGCACGCAGAAGCCGATCGTCGTCTGGAAGATGAAGGCGCCGGAGAAGAAGCCGCTCGTGCGTCGCGAGAGACCGGAGGAGCTGCACGCGAAGATACGCAAGGGCTCGGAGAAGCGCGCCAGCGTCAACCCGATCAAGGCCCTCAGCGAGTTCCAGAACCAGATCTAGGGGGCGCCACGTTGCGGCGGGCGACGCCGAGGTCACGTACGGGTCAGGTAGAGGTCGTGCGTGGTCACATGAAGGTCGCGTTGGGTCGTACGTGGGCATGTGGGGGTGTTGCGTGGGTCACGTGAAGGTCGCGTGGGGTCGTGCGCGGGTCACGTGTAGGTCGTGTTGGGTCGTGCTGAGGTCACGTGGCGGTCCCACGGTTGTCACGTGAAGGTGGTGCAGGATCGCGTGGCAGTTGCTTAGAGGATGTGTTGTGAGTGGCCTGTGATCGAGGCATACATGCCGTGGTTGTCCTCTGTTCTATGTCGCAATGCAGATGCTGCTACCAACACACAGCCTTTTGCTTGTTCTTGGCATCTGGGCTGTGATATGGCAATAGCTGCCATACAAAAATTGTAAAATGCTTGGCTGAACTGTTCAGGCAGCAGCACAAATCACCATCTTGTAGCAATGTTTCTATATAGTTGAGCTCGGCACACAGTGTAGTGAGCTAGTACCACAGTGTCTCATGCTGGGAACATTTTATCACACTGGTAACACATTTTATCGTGCTGGGAGGGACCAAAGTATATTACGCTGGTATATTTGACTTGTGGCTGGAATGGGCACGCTGAGGAATATGGTGCACTGTCCTCTGATCATGTGCTTGGGGTAATTTACGAGAGTTTGGTTTTACACCGGGGTGCACGTTGCTCCCGCGTTTACAGAAACGTTGCTCGATTCTAGCGCTTCTGCATTCGGCAATTTACGTAATTATGTACTCATTAATTGTTGTGACATAATGTATATATATCGCATACCAGCTTGCAAAAAGTGCACACGTAACCACGGTAACGGGAGGTAACGCATGCGTGTGTAACTAACCCTGATAGGGTCTATGTCCTCCAGGATACTGCCGGAACGTACCCTGGGTACGGTTCGGTATACCGGAACGTACCCTGGTAACTATCTGATATGGTTAGGGTTAGGGAGTAGGCGTAGGCGACTCCCTAGACTTGTTAGTGGAGTAGGCGAGGTACGGTCCGGCATATTAGATAGTACCAGGGTACGTTCCGGTATACCGGACCGTACCCAGTGTACGTTCTGGCAGTACCCAGGGAGACATAGACCCTATGAGCGTGACTAACTTATGTATAATGGGAGGCAAAAAATGCATGTGTAATCAAACTAACTGCAGGCAGCAAATATACGCATAAGCGAGGCAGTGGAATACAGCGAATGCACACGTAACCAAGGTAACGGATAGGTAGCAGAGCAGCGTATAGTCGGTGTATGGTTGTGAGCAGACTGCATGCGTATGGCAAGCCATTACCTTCAAAAATCATTGTATTCTATCTACTCTTGATAGTAGTCATGTATCTGAGTAAACATGAGTCTGTTATATTTAGCAGCACCGTGCATTTGCATCGTGCACGTAGAGGTTAATGACTGTAAAAGTGCTGTGAAGAAGACACCTACGCTCATAGGGTCTATGTCCTCCAGGGTACTGCCGGAACGTACCCTGGGTACGGTCCGGTATACCGGAACGTACCCTGGTCACTATTTGATATGGTTAGGGTTAGGATTAGGGTTAGGGTTAGGGAGTAGGCGTAGGCGACTCCCTAGACTCATTAGTGAAGTAGGCGAGGTGCGGTCCGGCATATTAGATAGTACCAGGGTACGTTCCGGTATACCGGACCATACCCAGGGTACCTTCCGGCAGTACCCCGGGGGACATAGATCCTCTTAGCCCTACTGATGTTATGACAAATCAGGTGTGTGGAACACGCGGCGAGCAATAACTATAGCAGCTATATTTATATTTAATGCGAAACTTATATTAAAGCGAAATTTATATGATATTGTTTAACGTGATCGGTTTTTTTCATTTTTCGTGCTCGTGATTTTGGTTTGTTTTCGTTCTATTTGCGGTCCGTGACGTAATCACCGTTGTTTGTCTGCGCTGCGCATGCGCAGTGTATCGATGACGTAACGAATGCGTTGTGGTCGCGATCCTGGTTGTGACTCAGATAGATGAAATTCGATACGTGACTTCTTAATGTAAATCAATGAGTTTTATATATATATATCTATATATCTATTTGTGTCTATGTATGTGTGTGCGCGTGTGCAGTTTGGGCTGAAATGCATCTCGTAATTGTCAGTTTGCGTAATTTTTGCTGAGGAATCTTATCGTATCAAACGTAGGGTAGCTTGTAGGTGAGGCGTATATAGTCGGACGTGTGCCCATGCACAAGCCGGATTCGTCGTTCATTTTCCGGTAACAGATAATGAATTCACGTTCCAAAAGCGCAGTCTGCCGTCATGATAACAGTTACGGTGACGACGACATATCACACGCGATTTCGTCATGCGAAGCTATCCGTTATCATATATCATATAGCCAGTTCACTTTTCAATTGTATGTCTGTATAAAAATATTAGACGAGAAATAAAATCTATACAAATTTTAATTTGGCTCGGGTTGGTCTGTAGTATGGAGCGTTGTCAGGGTACTGTGGTAATCCACCACGCGCGCCATCAGACTAGCATGATAGTTGTAGTCGCAAACAGTTATGTTATAATGCGTTACTTTATTTCCAGTGGACATGCGCATACTGTACGTGCGTGCGTGCGCGCGTGCGGTCGCGTATGCGCATGTAAACATCACTACTCGGTAACTGTAATGATTGCTTGCTTATTGCACATAATATAGTCTTACAATCAACAAGTCAATAAAATTTCGTTCTTCAGGACAGACAGATATGCGTGTAGTGTAGAATTCCGCATCGCAGTTCATGCTTTCATTCGGGTACAACATCAGCAGACACAGGGGCGTGCACAGGATTTGGACCAGTGGGGGGTCTAACCGTAACCCATACTTGCGAGCACGCGAAGGGGGGTCTGGGGGGCCCTCCCCCCGAAATTTTTTGAAATTAGACCCCCTCAGATGCGTTTTCTGCGCGAGCAGGGGGGGGGTCCCAACCCCCTGGACCCCCCCCCTGCGTCGCGCAGAAAAAACGCATCTGAGGGGGTCTAATTTCAAAAAATTTCGGGGGGAAGGCCCCCCAGACCCCCCTTCGCGTGCTCGCAAGTATGGGTTACGGTTAGACCCCCCACTGGTCCAAATCCTGTACACGCCCCTGAGACACCCTGTCGGATTAGAGCAATATTTAAATATAATATAACTATAATATAATAAAATAAAATAATTTCAATTTTTTCGCGTAATCGTCGTCGAACCTCGATGGGCAAGATTACACGAACGGTAGGAACATCAATTCACGTGGATCTTTATCTGCTTGCAATCAAAGATAACTTGTTGCAGCAACGAGTGTGGAAATTTACCTTGTGATAAATCGTCCGTATATTATACATCTCACTTGCGTATAATATCTGTGGTAGATGAACCAGGAGTAACTATTGGAATCAATATAATTTATAGGCCTACTTATTTTTGTAACCATTAATATATATATATATATATATAATTCCCAATTCGCGCCATGTCGACATTGTGTTAGAAGTACATCCAACTATACATAAATAATATAAGAATAGAAAGCAGCTCTTCGTGACGACTTTCATGTGGTAAACTTTAATGAGAAGCCGCATTAATTATTAATTGTTCGTGTGCGCGAGGATGCGGATAGGTCTGCCTGCACGCTGAATTATATATGATATGAATGATTGTCTTCTGACAATACCAGCGACGATATGCAAAAAAGACATCGGCAAGAATCATCAAATTCGTACGGGCACAGAAAAAGAGCTTCGCCGTACCTGCGTTTATTTTCGCTGCGGGCCCGTTTGTATGGGATTGGGAGACTGCAGTTATGTCGCCGCCACCCATTCATGTCACGCGTTGTCGATGTCGTTGTTTCTCATGCAGTCGGTGGTGAGCTGGCGGCAGTATATTAGCCATGCTTGCATACGCTGCACGTTCACGCCTGTGCTGCGCGATATTACTCGTAGTACTCGCAATGGCCGGTGCTGATGCGACTGTGACGCGGTTTACATTGCGACACAAGGACGGCGTGCCGCAGACGGCTGCGGTGATCGGCAGCAGCAACGTCACCGTCCTCGCACAGTGCTCCACGAAATGTGCCGAAAGCTACGGCTGTGGCAGCTTCAACGTCGACGACTCGCCACAGCCAGATGGGTGGCGAACCTGCGAGCTCCGTGAGAGAACGCCTTACTCACGCTCAACCGCAGCAGCGGGAGTTGTCGATTACAAGAAAGGTATGCGATTACTAAAAAATATGATTACAGCGCAAGAACGTGATATGATTTGTTTTTGCTAATAGGTCCTCTAGACTGGTTACGTAAACTATGGACAAGTCTATTCATTTTGTACACGTGTATACTGCCTTTGTCCGTATACACGTGATACCGCCGTATCCCATCATAACCTCCGTAAAACATTGTATTGCTCAAATATCGAATAAAATACAACAATGTTACATAACCCACATCAGTGATTCTTACATAAATTTACCACAGAGCCATACTGGGAACTCATCCCTGGCAGCGTGAGTGATCTTAGTATCGGAGAAGTGGGTCTTTGGGCTTGTCAGCCGAATGCACGCGTGTACTGCAGGATTAATACGCGAGTAAGTCAGTAATTATGATTATTCAATCTGTGGAAGATGGATATTTTAGAAATGTATTTTGGGTGGGGAAAAGCATGTAACGATATGGCGATTAGTAAAAAAAACCAATATAACAAATACTAACATGTTAACTTTGGCACTCCAATCTAAGGCGACGACAATTATACGAATTTAGACAATTAGACAATAGTGAATATTATAAAATCGATTCTCTGTTTGCGTTTTTTTCATAACATGTGCCTGTGCGAACGGTCAGTCAGATCAGAGCACGTTTCTATATTTAGCAATACGTTGCCGATACACACACGGAATGCTATGCACGTATGGTCCAAACTATTTTATACTCGCATCACCTGCAAATCTTTGCATTTCCGTAAAATCGACGCAAATCTATTATTCTTATTTATCAGAAAAATGGTGGCTCGGCCGGATCTGACTGGAAATTTATGGGGACTGTCTTTACACACGTAAGTTCCGGGAACAACAGTTTGTGGGGCGTCAACAATGCTGGTGCTATTTACCATCGCAGTGGTAAGTGTTAAGTCTGTCACCATAATTCTATATTTTTACTAAGTTTGTACGTGACATCTGTAAATTTCACCGGGCATGAATAAAAACAAAATTATCCACCCCCTGGCCCCTGCATGATAGCATCATATATAATGTATGTCAAAATGTATGTCAATTATGGCGCGTTTTGCATGCACAGTGGCTGTATTTAAAATCGCACGAATAATCGCATTGGTGATGACAATCGCGACGATGACGTGTAATTGTCGTTGTCATCGTGTAGGTATATCGGACGCGACTCCATACGGGACTAGATGGGACCGCGTAGCCGGTTCCCTCCTACAGGTCAGCGTAAACTCGGTCAACAACGAGGTGTGGGGCATCAATGCGAACTCCGTGGTATACCGACGACGTGGTATAACGGCGACTAATCACATGGGCACGAGCTGGCAGGCAATTGACTTTATAGAGGCAAAGTGGGTGTCCGTTGGCCAGGCAGGAGTTTGGACGACGAGTAACACGAACGAGGTTTTCTACAGGACCGGCACGGGCAACGGGGTCGGCGGTGAAGGTAAACGTGCGCAGCGGTGCCAAACTAAACACCTCGCAGTCGCAGAGGCTAATGCTTGTTCAATATTCTTTTCCCTAGGATCGGAGATCAATAATTATAATAGATTAAGCGGATTAATAGTTATATTTAATATATAACTATATATATATAATATAAATTATAATTATATATGTATAATATATTATATATATAATATATATATATATATATATATATATATATATATATATATATATATATATATATAATACTGCGCCATATGGCCAAAGAAAATGCAACTACGATGAAACCCATGCATGTTGTGCAGGGATTGGTTGGGAAAAGGTGGACGGATCTCTGAAGCAGGTTTCCTCTGGCGATGGCGTCGTGTGGGGTGTGGATGTCAACGGCAATATCTTCATCCGCATCGGTATTTGCGCGTAGTTTAACATAATACACTTAGCAAACCATACCACGCAGTTGTCGACGAAATTCAATGATTTCCGTCTATCGATAATGCATTTTGGTAATTACAATATAAATTTACAATTCGCCAACACGATTGTTCAGATAATCGCTCTCTAATAATGGGCTGCCGTCTTCGTTTAGGTATAGATGATACACATGGGAATGGAACAGAGTGGCAGCGCGTTCCCGGATCCCTCACACAAGTCAGTGTCAGTTCAGCGTCAAACTACGTGTGGGGATTAAACGGTCAAAGTGTGTATCGGCGTATGTTCTAAGCCTTACTTAACTAATGCCCTGTGCAACTTTCACTTTAAAGTCTCTTGTTTCTTGTGCATGAATATTTGAGGGCATTTATGCGTTTTTGTGGCGTGTATGCGTGCGCGCGTGCGCGTGCATGAGTGTCAGAGAGCGCGCACTTGCATGTGAATGTGCGCGCGTGTGCGTCTGTGCGTACGAGCAGGCGTGCATGTGTTTCTGTAGTCTGACGAAGAGACATATTCTCTCGTATGCTCACGATTACAATTATTAAACAATAATTATTAATTATAATTAATAGAAATGGACACCGTATTTCTGTTTTACATATTCATCTATTTACTCGCATATACATAGACCTAGCTCCTTTCCGTGCTTTTGGGACTTGCTATTATCCTGCATGTCATACATAACGACGGGAGCAGGGTGCTGCATGTCATGTATAAAGCTGGCTCCATTCCTGAGAGCATATATAATTGATTGATTTATTTCACGCTTAGGCCTACACTTAAAACGTCTCATTGAGGTCGATGCACATGCGTTGGTTATACGATGCATAATTTGCCGACAGATGTCTCTATTTTATTAACAATTCATTTCCAATTCATTAACAATTAACAATTCAGTGCCACACAAGTGCCATCAATTGTCTTAATTGAACTTTGCCCTGGGAACCTCACCACCGTCCCGATACCCTTGTCACGCTCTAAAAACCGTATTTAAAACCCAGTTTTTGCGGAGTCATTGGTAGTTTATATGAATAGATGTCGCTAGGTGACTGACTGTCAACCGAGATAACATCGCTGGATTCCATCTAACATAGGCGCGTCATTGATTCGGTGTTAGCTATTATATAGTCGTATTGTGTGTGTGTGTGTGTGTGTGTGTGTGTGTGTGTGTGTGTGTGTGTGTGTGTGTGTGTGTGTGTGTGTGTATGTGTGCGCGTGTGTGTTTGACAGCAACCAGCGTACAAATAGACAGATAGACATCGCGGTTTCGAAACCCGTACATCGACGTGACTGAGTTTTTCTGACGAGTTCCGCTCAAACGTTTATCGTAAATTTCGTGGTCCAAAAAGTTTTCGTCAAACATTCCCTAGTTAAGAAGGAAACCTGGAGTTTTGTGAACTGAGGAAATCAATGTTGCCCGAGTCCTGTCGTCGATGCAAGGCAGTTGTATGTGGCCAGTGTATACAATCACAACCCTGATTATTGAATTAATTATTCAAGTTACGCCGAAAATAAAGTGAAATATACGCGCATAGGTACATATTCCAGTTTTCATTATTTCGTAGATGCATCGATTGATAATATTTAGATGACTAGTCCAAAACACTCTTCTTGGACACCAGCGCAACCCCAAACACTAGTGAGTGTTAAAAACAATTATATAATAAATATTATTAAAATATACGTAAATATATGATACTAAAACGGCGTAATGATTTTTCTGACCGATGGGTTTCTGTGGTGGTGTCTAGAAGACTACGTACACTACCACCAAAGAAAGTTTTGGTTTCGTAACTTTAACATAAGGTGCGTAACATTATTAAAAACTCGTACAATAAAACAAAATTATTAGCAAAATAAATGGCCGCATGTTAAACGGTCAATATTGTCTGTTGGAATATGGAAGAAGGTACCTAGAGAATGGAGCTAATCGACGAAGTCGGATCCCGTATAAGAATGATAACATGTATTTAATTAATATAACGATATTTCTTATTACAGTGGAAGTCCGAAAATCCGGACTGCTCGGGGAGTGGGTGGGTTCGGATTTTCGGATTCTCGGGCAGTACTTTTAAAATTCAAATACAGCGAAAATTCTTTGTATGATTATCAACGTAACTCGCGCATGGTGAAACACGACGCGACGTGCCGCTTTCCCAAACGCATGATAGCCTCGCTGTCTAGCAGGCGTGATTTGAGATTAGACAACGTGATGCAAGGGCGGCCCCAGTTTTGCTTATTGAATCTTTGTGGGTAGTTTGTAAGCGCGCAAATGTTCCACGACGAAACAACAAACTGATTGCGAGAACAACGAAGCTTACTTTGCACATTATCAAGTCACTTTATTCAATAAACAGGACCTCGCTTCCAGCACACACGCACGCACACACACACGCACATACACACACGCACACACACACACGCACACGCACACACACACACACACACACACTAAATACCTACCATCCAGAGAGAAGAAAATAAGAGCAAAACGTAAAGATAACAGCTCTTATCCCGGCATTAATTAATTGTTTGTACGTACGGAGACCCCCTGTGAAGAGTACGTTAGCTGTGCGGGCCTATCGCACGCAGACGATGCTGATGAACTGTGAGCAATCTCTACAACGAGTGTGTTAGCGCCGACATGTGCACGCGCGAGACGGTGTAACGATCGCCCATGAGGTAACCTTCATAATCGCCATCAGTGCCCCACGCCCTTGAGGTAACCTTCATAATCGCCATCAGTGCCCCACGCCCTTGAGGTAACCTTCATAATCGCCATCAGTGCCCCACGCCCTTGAGGTAACCTTCATAATCGCCATCAGTGCCCCACGCCCTTGAGGTAACCTTCAGTTGCCTTCAGTGCAGCAACGTTCGTGGGCGCTTTTGGAGAAAAGTTCACTGTGACACCTCGGTGACTAACATTCGTGAGAGCCCGTGAGGTAACCCTCAGTTGCCTTCAATGACTAACGATTGTTATAGTCGTTGGGGTAACTTTCAGTCGCCTTCAGGGACTAACGCTCCCGACCTTGAACATTATTGTGTCCCAGCTACACAGATTCATTGCTGCACTATACGGATGGCTACTATCCGCACAGGTTGGCCCTTCCTAGAATGAATAAGCGTAATAACCATCTGATAATCTCGTCGGTCGATCGCTAATGGAAACATGATTGCTGCTAACGACAATAATATTAGATGAACGAATTACCCCTCGCTATATGCAATAGAATGGATGCTGGTGATCTCACTACATTCGCGTAAGATGGCGCCTTAATCATCTACCCCTCCCCGTAACGGCCACTAGCTCGAATCACGGTCCAGCTCGTTCCACGTTCACGTGAGTATTACCTGCGTAGCTGTGGCCAGCCCTATACGGTACGCTCTACTAGCTACAAAGTGGTCTCTGGACGCTTTCGTAGATCGACGAGACGCCTTGCAACTATATGCCGAGCTGCCCTTCTGCCGACCAGCCCCTCCCCCACCCCACCACCACAATTCCGCACCCTCCGTCGTTTGCATCGTGCACATGGCGGATACTGCGCGACGCCCTCTCGGCGACGCCGTGGCGGCTGCGCAGCGGCGGCCACGGCGCCCCGGACGCGCTCTCACGTGCCGCGCACACAAGATTGCTCACAGTTGCTTATATCGGAGGGACGGGAGGCGCCATCCGATCACCTCCCGCCCATCCCCATCGGTCGCGTCGCGCCGCTACGCCGGCACTCGCTAAGCGAAAATCCGAGCGCCATCCGAATAGAAACGTTCCGGAGCCGAGACCGATGATCCCGCGCTCGCAGTGCCGTCAGACAGTGGCAGAGAGAGAGGCGCCACTCGCCGCTTCGACCTCGCCCGTACAACCTGCCTCCTGCCAACAACGGGAGTCAATAAACGGGAGCTGGCGCATCAGTCCGAGCGGGCGCGTCAGTCGGGTCGGTCGGCGGCTGCGGCCGCGACGGAGGCGACACCTGCCGCACGCTCGCGGGCGTACGTGCGACGTCTGAATCTCAGACGAACCGTTACGACTCCGCACTCCGCCAGCCTGCCTCGCACTCCCCCAACCCACCGCTAACGAGCCCACCCCGCCTTCCAGCGACGCGGAACGCGCGCGCGCTCTCGTGCGCGAACCACGACGGCCTACCGCACAGAAACAAACAGAAACCACCATCACTGTTCGGCGCCAGTTTACATAAGAGCCACGTCGTTAAGTCCAAAGGTAAGCAACCACACCGCGTACTTCTACAGTGAGCCGAATCCCTCCCCAACCCCCCCACCCTAACCCTACCCGCTACCCGAGGAACAACCACGCAGTCGGGCAAGTTCTCGTAGCATACATAATTCGTGCCAAAGAAAAGCACACCGCTACGCGGCGAACGCAGACTCGACACCACGCTCATGCACAACTCGGTAGAAGCACACTGCATCTCACCACCAGCACACTCACGAGATGATGACGAGACAGGCCTCCGCGACAGCGGACGTAGCGAGAACACCCGTGGGAGACGTGTGTCTTCCTCTCTCTCTATCTCTCTCCCCCTTTGTCATAGAAGGAGCATCATTGCCTTCCCCATCCCCCACGCGGTGTACGGTGTACGCAAATAAAAATGTCTACGATCTCGGGAAAACGAGCGCGGATAATCAGAGAACGAGTTCATTGATGCTGTCACTTCACACGTCAGATTACCTCTCAGTGATGACGATCGAAAAGAATACCACTAAAACATGGACTAAAAACTACAAAAAATTATCTCAATTTACATCTTCATCATCTGTACATACACACACGGCCTCGCTCATTCGACCTTCGTCTTTACCTCTCTCTTCACCATCGGTGGTGGCAACAATGTGATCGCCCAGCCACCGCATCCCAGGGCATTAAATGGCACCGTATACGGCGTTTAAAAATACTCTCTGGATGAAAATTAGTGTAGTTAAAAATTGTCATCTGATTTTAAAATTCACAAATTTACAATGTTCGTCGCATATACCGTGGCTAAGAGACAGCAGCAGCGGGTGTCCAAATGCCATCCGGTTGCCACCGAGTGACTGTGTGATCGTGGAGGGGATAAAACGATCTCACGAGCTCTTCACTCACCAACTGAGATCTGATCTTTGAATGACTGCGGAAGCACGCGCACTCACATGAACATGTGCACACGCACACACAGACGGGCACGCACACAGAAACCATGTACACATATGGCTAGGCACGCACGCGCACATGGAATATGTACACACATGGCTACGCACGCACGTCCATAGGGACCATGCACGCACAGACAAGTACGCACACGTGCATGCTCACATGAACACCTTAACATGCACAATACACATGGATACATGCACATATGTACACACGCACGCAAGCCCACGTGAGCACGCGCTACACACATGAACATATGCACAAACGAACGCGTATAGACACATGCATTTACGTAACTGGGTGACGTTACTCTTACATGGCAGTGTGATACACTGGACCGGTTGGACCCTCTATAAAATACATAATCAGAACAGTTCGCTTTGGCACTGACCAACATGGATGGACTAGCATTTCTCGTCACGGGAAATTTCCAGCGAATAACTAGGGGCGGCGGTTACGCGCCGCCCATGCCCAAATTTGACCAATAACAATCTGGATGAGGATGTCTAGGGGGTGCTGACACCATTTTAAAATGTCTTCTTCACCTAGTAGTAGTCGCATATATACATCGGCCGGTGACAACCGCGTAATTTACAGTGCGTAAAACAGCAGCGAGGCGAGACACGCAGCAGAGCGGCGCGCGTGGGGTGCGACGAGCACCTGTACAAAGTTTACAAAATCCAAGCTTCGAATCCTGGCCGCTGCCGCCACCGCTACTGCCCGAGGCGTGCGTGCGTGGGTGCGTGCGTGCGTGCGGGTGGTACCCTCCCTGCTCGCGTTACCGCGGGGTGGGTTGCGCGACCGGCAACGCGACGGCGCGTCGAATTCACGTCGCACGCCGCCAAACGATGCCGAACGCCCGCTTGCGCTACAAATAGTGACGCAAGAGGACTCAGCGCGTGTAGCGGCACCGCGCGCCGACAGGAGGGACCCCACAGAACGCAGTTGTAGGAAGAAACCAGCCAGGCACGCGCACGTTGGTGCGCGTAACCGCGCCCCGGGGCTGCGACGCACGACGACGCCCCGAGCACGTGCGCGGGAGAGAACCGGCCTCGCGCACGCGCTCGCGACGCGGGGGTAGAAAAAACACGAACGGGAGAGAACGACGACGATCCGCAGTCACTCAGGGCAAGGGCAATTTACACGGGGGCGCCCCCTGGCGTTCTCCTGCTACTATCGGTGGACGGCGCGCGTCAGGCCGTTCGGCGGCGACTGCGCGGGATGCATCTCAAACTCGACGAGTAGCGGGAAGTGGTCGGACGGCACGTGCGGGTTCGGGCATCCGACCACCTTGTTCTCCCTGAACCACAGCTCGTCGATGGGGCCGAGCAGGCCGAGCTGCTTGAAGTGCTGCCGCGAGTAGAAGATGTAGTCGATGATGCCCTTGAAGTCGTACCTGCCGGAGAAGAGACGACGCGAGACACGGTGAGTGTGACGTGGCGATAGGGGTGGCGTCACAGCGAGCTTGACATCAGGGCGAGTGTGACGTGGCGGTGAGCGTGGCATTACGGTGAGTGTGACGTGGCAGCAAGAATGACGTGACAGCAAGGGTGACGTGCTGGTAAGTGATGTTACGGTGTATGTGGTGTGGTAGCAAGGGTGACATGGCTTTGTGTGCATCATATCTTACCATTACCAATACGTGAACAAACTCCTGCCTCGAAAGATTTATTGCCTCTCAGACCAGTCTCCGAAATAAGTCTGATACCCCCGGCAGCCAGTCTACCAAATGTGGACTACAGTACAAACACTAGCTATAGTAAAATCTGTAAAAATGACCCAGTCCTGTTCAAAAGCTACCCATCGTGCACTTGGGGATGGGGTCCTACTTCCAACAGTGTCTCAAATAATAAACTCGTGTATATCTTCAGCACATTAAAATTGTAATTATCATTGGCAAAATGTGGATACAACAACCGTGTGCTCAATTTCGGACACTTTCCAGGACCAAATATAATAATAACCCATTTTTCAAGTCTTCCAGGACCATGGCCCATTTTCCGGATGTCGAAAAAAATATCATTCTAAAATTCCAGAACTTTCTGGGTTTTCCAGAATCCAGAATAACCCTGTGTCACCCCCACGTAGCAGTGGTCACCTTCAATCATAACTTTGCAGTGGCACCGCGCAACGTTCAGTACAGTGTCGCAATTTCGAACCCCATCTCGCAATGACGCGACTCACGTGTAGTTTGTGTAAGGCATGATCTCGTTGTCGTACGCGCGCTCCAGCTTGAAGGAATGTGTGAAATCGTCCAGATTCTTCTCCGTGCTGCTGAGCTTGCGCAGCACCGTCGAGTAGCTCAGGTCCTTGAAGTCGGCGTGGGTGATGCCCACCTTACCCGACCGCAGAAACTCGACAACCCCTGCAAGACACGAGCGGGCGCACTGTTGCTGTTACTGTTTAAACACAGGCGCGTGGAGGTGCATGAGTGAGATAGGCAGAGGTTGAGAGAGAGAGAAAGAGAGAGAGGAAGAGAGAGAGAGAGAGAGAGAGAGAGAGAGAGAGGAGGAGAGAGAGAGAGAGAGAGAGAGAGAGAGAGAGAGAGAGAGAGAGAGAGAGAGAGAGAGAGAGAGAGAGAGAGAGAGAGAGAGAGAGAGAGAGAGAGAGAGAGAGAGAGAGAGAGAGAGAGAGAGAGAGAGAGAGAGGGAGGAGAGGGAGAGGGAGAGAGAGAGAGGCAGAGAGCAAGAGCGAGAAACAGAGAGAGAGAGAGAAAGAGAGTGCGAGAGAGAATGTTGTGTGACAGAGGTATTCCCACGAATCAAAGCCTTCGTTCCCGTGAATCTGCCCCTGCACTGAACCTCACGCCTCGGACCTCTCACTCCCCCCCCCTCCCGCACACACACACTCACCGGAGTCCGGCAAGGAGTTGAGATCGCCGCAGAGCAGGGTGGGTATGGTGTTCGGGTCGGCCGTGTGCGAGCCGGGCCGGAAGCTCTGCGACTCCTCGGCGATCGTCTTCAGCTCCGACATCAGCATCATCGTCTGGATGAGTTTCACGTCGCAGTACTCCGGGTCCCAGTGCATGTGCGCGGTGCAGATGAGCACCAGCTGGCGCGCCTGCGCGGGGTCTGGCGGCAGGCCTGCAGTTACAAACAACTCGTCAGCAACGGCCGACGGTCGAAGCTTCGTAGACTTCACTTACTTTCACTCATACTCTTGGTGCTCCGGTGGGACATAAGGCCGTCGAAGCTTCGTACGCCCGAGGTGAAACCTTTCTTCCTTGGACTTTTACAGGACATTTCGCGGACTCGGAAATTCCATTTTCCGGACCACGAGATTCAATCGAAATGCAATAAAATCTGTCTACCTAGATGCCAATTTTGTATGTTGCTATTAACTTTTATCGAGCAAACTCTTGCCTCAAACAAGGTTTAATTCTTATCGACAGTAGAGAAGGCGTATAGCCTAATAATAATAATAAGTTTAAAATACTGAGGGTATACCTCAGTATTTTAAACTTATTATTATTATTAGTAAAATATACACAACGTCGATGTGCCTTAATTTCAAGAATTGCTAAAGACTAAACATCTAGGACCTTCTACGACCACAGCGCTCGATTGACACTCCCGGCACTGGCTCACCGTTCTCGAATATTGCTTCTTTGGTTTCTAGCAATGCTGCGAGGCCGATGTTGTCCTTGGTCATCACGCGATTGAGCATGTCATCGGAACCCTCGGCGTTCGCCATCGCCAGCTGGTTAAACTCTACAAGGTGCTCCTTCACCAGTGAGAACCTAACACAGCGAACACACAATTATTAATAAACCATGATACTATTAATATTAATATTTAATTCATATGTAAATATATAATAACTTCACTAGCGACCTCGAGCTTTCAACTTATACTAAATTTTGCTTATACAGGGATGAGATTAGATAATTTAATTTTCAGCTGACATTTTAATTAGCAAACAGAGGAGCGAGCAATGCGAGGACCGTAGGTCATTTTTTTTAAAGAATGGTGCAATTTGGTGCATTCTAAGCTATTCTGAACAAATTATAGGAGACTCTTGAATCATCCTTTCTCAGTTGTCAAAGAGGAAGACCAAACGATACTAATAATAGCAAATTGGGGGGGGGGGCTCAAAATAGGGCAAGTTTTGTTATTAAATGTCTAGACATAATGATATTTTTTATGTTCCACGTCGCCTTGCATTGTTTTACTCAGACATAAGCTGCCTTACTGCGACCGAGATTTGAATGAAAAAAACACAATGCGAATGGAAGCAATCAGTGGCATAGTCATGCACAGAACATACGAAGCAACATGTAAACCCGGCCCCCCAGGGCCAGGCATACGTCGTTACGTGATCAGCTACCTCAAATGTTTGCCCCTCTACTGCAGCCTGTGAACGAGAATTTTCTTTTCTGGTACGACGAAAACAGATACACTGTATACTTCGCTGTCAGCCTACTGTCTACCTCCTACAGATATACAGTCAGGTGCTGTGAGGGGTATAATAATTAAATTGTTACATTGTTACCGCCCTCCCAATTTCCTCAACGAATTTAGACGTTTCACAAAATCGACCCCTGGGACTGTCAAATCCGCGGATTTCCGCGGATCCGCAGAAGAATCTCATCCCTGCTTATATTCACTTATATTTAATGTATAACTTTACAAATATAAATTGTATTATATTACTCATTTTACTATTATTATAATGTTACTGATATTTTACAGTGTGTATGTGTGTGTGTGTGTGTGTGTGTGCATATGTATCTATACTATATCGAATTACTATTATGTTCTCGTCTCAATGGCATCGCGTGAAATAAATGTCTCGTGCAATGTAGGAACAATGCCACGTACTTTGATGTTCTATAGAAGATTGCACAACCATCTACAAATTTTCGTTCAGACTCCAGCATAGTCTTTGCTCGAGACTTTGGCGAAAAAATGCCATCGTATCCGTCCCGCTTGAGCTCAGGCAGGAAGAAATTGTAAAACTGATCCGTTTCGACCTCCTGCATGATAGAAAACGTCAGGTGAGAATCACAGGCGAGTAAGGCCTAAGATAAAATATTGCTTGTTTCCCCTTTACCGACCGACTCGCCAAAACGCTGCTACTCGACACATTTTATTGGCCGATTAAAACAAAACAAAAATTATTTCGTTTTGCCAAAAAAAAAATTTCATTTGTTCCGCAAAAACATATACACAAAACAGAATATACAATATACATATGCACATCTTGTCAAAACAAAATAAAAAATAATTTTCACCTACCTACCTACTCGGTACCCTGAGAGGCGAGTAGGTAAAGGAAAAACAAAAAAAAATTTAAGGGTGGCCTAACCAAGCCAACACAAGATGCAAACAGGTAGTCCGGGTAAAGCAAAAAAATGCAGCTCCACGCAAACACAAGCCACCTTAACATAGGCACAAAAATACAGACTTGCTATTTATATATCATATCTAGATATCACCCAGGGAACAGCTGACTATGTTAATGATGTGACGGCCAGTTATCGGGATAGCTCGCTGGTATTTATAATTAAAAGACTAAAGTTTACACTTCCGGCCAAGAGAGAGCAGCACTGACCTGCAAGCTGATAATGTCGGCCGCGTACTGCCTGATATCCTCCATGATGCCTTTTCGCCGGTATTCCCAGTTGAGCGCCCAGCTCGGGCAGTAGCCGTAGATCTGCCGTGTCGCGTACTTGTCGCAGAGAACGTTGTAGCACATCACCGTGAACACCGCTGCGAAGGGAAGGCGGTTAAAAAACAAGCACTCAAGCATGTCTGCCGAAAAACACAGCCATCATGCCAACTTCCGACAGGCGCATCTTTGCCATGGAGTCGATCAACACATGACACTCATCCTATATTTTTTAGCCGCATGCCACCAAGTAAACAGTCTCCCTCTCTTTCCGTCCCCTTACTTCCAACTCCCTTCCCTTCCCTCCGACTTTCTTCCAACTACTTGCCCTTTCCTCTGCCTTCCTTTCCTTTTATTCAGATTCTCTCCCCTTTCGTCCCGACTCTCTCCTCTTCCGTCTGCGTATAACACCCCTCTGACACCCCTCTCATTTAAAGACTCCCTTCCCTTTCGTCCCGACTCCCTCCCCTCTCATCCCGACTCTCTCCTCTTCCTTCTGTGTGTAACACCCCTCTGACACCCCTCTCCTTTCCCCGTGCACAGCGGGGGTACGCGGTGGGGGCTGCACTCACCGCTGATGTGCGCTCGCTCGCCTTGCACGGCAGGGGTAGGGGGGGGGCTGCACTCACCGCTGGTGTGCGCTCGCTTGCCTTGCACAACAGGGGGGGGGGGCTGCACTCACCGCTGGTGTGCGCTCGCTCGCCATTCTCGGTGACGACCCACTGCCGCGTCGTCGGCTGCACGGCGTTCACCGTCAGGTGGTCGAGCATGTACGTGAGCAGCTTCACCGTGCCGTTCGGCTCGCTGTAGATGCTGAGAATCTCGGCCGAGAGTGGGTTGCCCTTCAGTCCTGCAACACGGACGCCCGACCGTCGGTCAGTCAGCAGCAGTCTCTGCCGACTCCTTGCTCCCCCTACCCCCATCCGAGTCCCTCGTCTCCCGTCCGCATTATTACCCTTTCCTCGGTCCTCTTCCCCTTTCCTCGGACCTCTTCCCCTTTCGTCGTATGAGTGCGTGATGAGGGCCCGTGCTTGCCACCTCAGCGGGGGCAGCACTTGCAATCAGGGGGCCGTTGTCAGAAACATCGTAAAGTTAATGCTAATGGTAATGCTAAGATAACACTTACGACTAATGTTAATATTACGAGAGGGGCGTTGACAGAAACACATCGCAGCTATTAGAAAACTTACGATAACAGGAACTTCATCACAAGGCTGCTGATTGGATGAGAATCGATCACAAAATTCAAATTGATGAAAAACGACGCGGTCAGGCATTTATTCTGCACAACAAGACAGATTCTCACACTGTAACACGAGATGCGAGAGTCGTGCCAAGTGGCAGCCATTTAAAACAAAAGAACAAATGCCAATACGCCATTTGTAAATGTTTTGTTTTGTTTTATGATCGGTAGATAATTAATGTTTTTGACGTGTTTTAAAAGAAAAACACATTTTACTCATTATTATAAAATATAATATCACTATAATTGTAATTCGTAGTGTAAATGTGTTATTTTCATCTTAATATTAAAGTTACGAGAGGGTCTGGGCTCTCATAATGTTAAGAGAATATTTTCGAGGATTTTTCATTCTCGTATCTTTCTCGATGTTTCTGTCAACGGTTTACGAGTGGAAGTTAATGTTAAGACTAATGTTAAGACTAATTTTGTTTCTGACAACGGGCTCCAGTCACGGAATTAAAACTAAAGAGACTTCAACATTGAAAGAAAGCAATGGAGGGTCAATAACAAAATTAAGGTAAAGAGAGAAGGGCTACGATTTGTTAGGGCTGCTTATCTTAGAGGGGGGGGGGCGCTTACTAAGTACCTAAATACAGTATTAGCAAAACAACTTGGCCCCAACTAAATCCTAGCAATAACTTAATACAACTAATAACTTCATACAAAATTAAATATGGGCAATTGATTAAATATTTTTTTATTTAATTTATAACATTTAATTCATTCATTTATTCAATATAGAATAAATGCACCGTACGGGGTGGCTGTGGCACCAGTCGTAAGTGCGAGAGAGCAACTCACCGAAGTTCTGCAGCTGGAAGAGCTTGCCTAGCTCGTAGGGCAGCACGCGAAGGTAGTTGTTGTTTAGTAGCAGCTCCCGGAGCATGATCATGTTGCCGAGCTCGAACGGTAGGCTCCGCAACTTGTTCGACGACAAATCCAGGTACGTCAACTACAAGAACAGCAGCGGGAATGAAGACGAGCACAGGTGCGCCTACAGTTACAAGCGCGGGCTCGATCGCAACCATAGGTCAGTAGGTAACTTGTGGCCATTTCCATTTTTGCCAAAAAGTGGATGTGGCTCGAATGTAGGTCAACTGGCGTGCTCCAAAATAGGACGTTCAAACCTCTCCCATAGGAGTAACAACTATATGCAATTTGAAACATGTGGGTCAAACAGTTCTTGAGTTATCGTTGACCGTAGCGAAATGTTTACGGACGGACGGACGTACGACACCTCATGGCAATAGCTCATCTTGACGATGTCAAGGCGAGCTAAAAATGTCCTGACGAGGCACGCAAAACAAATGCGTGCGACAAGAACTCACGTAAGATAGTCGGCAGATCTCTGGCGGAATGCGTGATAGATTGTTGTCATTCAGGTATAGGGATGTCAGGTGTTGTAACTTCCACAGCTCAGGGCTGAGGTTCCGGATCGTGCCTGCCACGATACAGCGCAGTGCGAATGAGCAACCGCTAGTTAAAGGATTTATTGCAAAATCATTACTCCAAAACGCACAATCCGAAAGAAAATATAGCTAAATATAGTCTCACCTTATAGCGAATATATTACTGATTACACCAACTTGAAAAACACTAAGCATTTATGCTGTTATACCATAGAAAATTGGAATTGAACACGCCGTAACACCATGGCATAATTGATTATAGCGACAATGAATTTGCAAATTACGCCTTAGTTTACCAACAAGTTACAAATTCAGCCATTGTGCACCTAATTCAAACAAAAGGGCAGCTGATTTTGTGTAATTTACTCCGTTTCTATTTTGAAATTGGCCAATAGCTAGAGATATCGCGAAATAGTCTGAGATTCACAAGAAATGGTGGCAGTAATAAAAATGAGTAATTAAAACACGAATTTTGCATGTTTTGGTGAATATAGCCCAGTACGAAGGTTCTAAGACATGTGAGCGTTACTCAAGCAATAACGGTAAGTGTCGCAAAAGTGGGGAAAACATGAGACTGGTTGGAAATTATGTTAGAAATCCAGGCTTTCATAATGCTTCAGTGGTATCAGACTTGCCACGAATACAATAACTTACACGCAAGCCGTGAATATATGTGGCGGGATTAAATACGACCAAACCTAACTTTTAGCACTAAGCTCTGCCCTAAAAAGATGTTAAAAGCCTAACCGTGATCTCTAGTTCTGCCCATAAAAAACGTTATCTCTATTTCTGCTACAAAAGATGGTCAATGCCTACCTGTGACCAATAGTACTGCCCTAGAATATGTCAACCAGTCTACCTGTAATTTCTAGTTCTGGCCAGTATGACTTCTTGCCTGCGAGTGCATCCTCAGTCGACATGAGCGTGTGTAGGCGCCGTGGATTCGGTGGCTCATACTTCTTGTTGTAGGATATTCCTAAAAGAAAAACAACTGCGAATATCAACCAGGAACAGATGTGTGAACATCTGTCCCAAAGAGACCAATATGAACTTTACAAATAGAAGAGGAACAGAGATATAAATCTAATGGCACATTCCGATCGAACGCGGAAGGAGAGTTCCTATACCTGAGCACATCTGCACAGGAGCAGAATAGTCATTGAATTTAAAAAAGAACAGGGAAGAAACAATTGACAATGAACTATCTCCCTATCTACTCAAGTATGTTTTCTTTTACAATCACGTCGATTCCTGGCAGGTCAAATGCAAGTATGGCACGTACGCTACCTAATGGGCACTTTTATTCAGAGATGACAGTATGACATGTGTCATACTTGTACCATATAATCAGAATACAATTTACAAATGAATTGATCTGCACCAAGCAATGCAGAAGAGAATCAGCACACCATGATTAATTCTTGCTGCCATGCAAAACATTCAGCCACCTGGCAATGATTTCTTGTTTGTGCTAACAACACAATGAATTTCACAACCCATACCTATAGTATATAGTCACATAGAATAATGAACATATACCAGAGTTTCTTCTGAGGGGAAAACTAGACAAAGGAGGTAATGCCCAGTTTGGGGAAAAATGCGCATGATGGATACAAATACAGGATGTATTGATATACTTATAGGTACATAGATACAGGATATACTTATCAGTAAATACAGGAACATTTTCACAACAGCGATGTTAAATTTGACAAAGGCAGTGCGCCACTGTGCCTCAGCTGCCTCTTATGTATAAGAAACCTTGTATACAAGTGGTACTTGGCAGCCCTAGATTGTAACGGATCTGTCACTTTATGGGAAACAAGAAATTGTCTAGGGATGACCCAATAATGTAATACTCACTTCCTTGGTTGGAACCTTGGTCCATTGGAGACATTCTGCACCAGGTCCCCATCACTTGTTGCCGTTCACCTTATTTCCTATAACAAATAAAATGCTTAATATTATATTCTAGTATTAGAAAAGTATATCTTATAGTTGAATTATCAATTCTTTCCCACAAATACTTGTTTGTGATCAGATTCCTAATTCTATCATACAGTATCCAACATAAATAAATCATCTCACTATAATACTTTAGTTAATTAACCAGTGATCAGGGGCAATACCTGAATGCTGCTGGGCCCTATTAGGCAAACATAACTTACTATACATTTAACTAAATTCATACATGAAATGCATAAAGACCAGTTGTAACCATACACTGATACCAAATAGGGTTCAAACTGACATTCTAGTCTGCAGAGATTGGGATTTGAGAGATTGGGATTTGCACGGGAGTTTTTGCCAAATGTAAATGTCAGTTGTAATTTTTTTCGGTGATGCACATCAAACCATTGACACAGAAATTCCTTCACAACCTTCCACACTCCATCCAGGTTGTGCTATTGTTACTTCTTATGATATCTCGCTTAAAATTAAATACAAATTAAATGCACGTGGATTATATTTAACATCTAAAATCTGTGCACCCTGTACCTGTGCAAGATCTCACTGTGGCCTTCCATGCTCTGCAAACTTACAGACGTTAGTATACGATGTTGTCAAAATTCCATCAGGTTTGAAATAATATAAGGCCGTGGCTACGCGTCCGGACATCCATCTCACACAGTGATCTTGCCACACGTACACGCATGATTGCGCAACGGGACGCTCTGCTGATTGCCGAGTGTGTGTGAGAGAGAGAGAGAGAGAGAGGTGTGTGTGTGTGTGTGTGTGTGTGCACGTGCGTGCATGTGATAGAGAGAGACAGGGTTCTCCCTACGTTGCGCAAACGGGGCGCAAGCGCCCCGTTTGGAAAAACTCCCCCCTGTTTCAATCGTTGCGCCCCGTTTGAAATACCTCCGCCCCGATTAAATTCCACCACAATAAAAGTTTGACAGCGCGGGAATCGATCGTCAAGAATTCCCATTTGACCAGGACCACCGACGCGTGTATTTTTACCGTACCACGCATGCACTGCAGACCATACACAAGTACAAACAGTTAACCTGTACCGAACCCAACACTAACTGTACACCAACTCGGCTATCATATATATACAAGAACCCCAAATACCGTCTATGGTGTGGTGGCGATTTTACGCATTAATTAGTGGTACGGTAAAAAAACACGCCCCGGACCCCCCTAGTTTCCCCTCCCTTCCCCCGCTCGCCCCCTCCCCCTCGCCCCTGTTTCAATTTCATGCTGGGGAGAACGCCTGAGGAGGGAATGTTTATGTGTTGTGCAGCCGATGCGTGCATGTGATAGAGAGAGGGAATGTGTATGTGTGTGTCACGCGTGAGAGAGAGAGGTGTGTGTGTGTGTGTGTGTGTGTGTGTGTGAGAGAGAGAGAGAGAGAGAGAGAGAGAGAGAGAGAGAGAGAGTGTATGTGTGTGTCACGCGTGAGAGAGAGGTATGTGCGTGCGTGTGTGTGTCTGTGTGTGTGTGAGAGAGAGAGAGAGAGCTATAGGTGTGTGTGTGTGTGTGCGCAAGAGATAGAGAGGGAGAGAGAGAGCTGTGCGTGTGTGTGTGAGAGGGAGAGCGAGAGAGGACGGATGAAAGGATAGACAGCAGCAGTGCATATATTTTACGGGAAGGCTATATTGTATATTTTCGTCAATCAGCAGAGCGTCCCGTTGTGCAATAATGCGTGCATGTGAGTGGATGTCCGGACGCGTAGCCTGGAGGCTAGGCGACTGGTTCCGGACGCGTAGCCACTGCGATAATATAAACGGTAACAGCTGAGAAAATCGAGCGTTAATATTTATGGGAAACCAAGCGCTAAGTTTTTTGAGTAAATGACGATTAATTGAGAAATGCATGTGAATACCGTGAACGCATACGCTATTGTTAACTTAATATAATTTTGCATCAACTTGTAGGCCTATATCATGTATATATCTGGCTATCTGTAGCGGCCTATAACACAACAATTAAGAAGAGGGTAGACTGTGTCACCTTTTGACGTTTTGTCATTGACACCCAACATGCGGAAACGTTGTATTTTCCCAATAGATTTAGTGATGCAGGGCCTAGAGAAGAACATACATAAATAACGTAGATAGTAATAAAATTAAATTATAATAGGCCTAGTCAGCCAAGTCACTAGTGATACATCATATGTGCAAGTTTACTGTTCATGTGTTCGGCCAATCAACAATGCAACTTCTAGTTGCGCATCAACCTTTTAAATCTTTATCTGAATAGCGTTTAACGAGTTATTATTTATAACAGATGCCTGCTGATGCACGGTCCGACTTATAAGCTGTGGGGTTTTATTAAAACGCACATGTTTGACGAAACTTACCACTTTTTCTCACATTTTCGTCAAAACAAGGGCAAATATGGCCGACGACGAGCAATCTATCACCTGATTGGAGGGATAATATTTAACAATATTTGGCCTCAAAAATTGCCCTAAACTGCTTTAAAAATATTACTGTACTTTGATTTACATTGAGGATTTGTTATTATTACAATTAAACACACGTGTAAGGCGGTTTTTGCATCAAATCGGCATTGGAATTATTAAACAAGTGAGCATTGCAATGAATTATGTAGGTGTATGAGTTTTTGATAAGTGATAATGATAGAGGTCACGGAAAAATCGTAATGACTTCTAACCCGTTGAATAAAATTTGTGAAAAGGTGCATACTTAATTTATATAAAAGGAAAGTGAGCTATGCAAACTAGCTGGAACGGAAACCAATCTAACCGGCAACAAGTTCACAGGAAAATTCGTATTACATGACCGTCTTACGCACAGGCACTTGAAGCATATCAACTGTAAACATACGGCGCCGCCATTGCGCGTACACTAACACATATATATTGAGCACACTAATACATATATATAACTCAATATATATGTGTTAGTGTACGCGCAATGGCGGCGCCGTATGTTTACAGTTGATATGCTTCAAGTGCCTGTGGTCTTACGTGACACGTGTGACGAAGTGCTTGTTGCCTGTGACTGTCTCATCATCATAACAATCGGCCAGTCATATATCGAATACAGGCAGACTACAATGCGCCTTTGCTGCTATGTAATACAGAGGCAAAGTGACATAATCCTGTTTACGTAGTCACCGCAGTAGAAGGCTGCTAGTGCTAGTCAGAGTGAGATAGTTTAATTTGTATTCTGTTACTGTTAGTGACAGTGTTACTCACTGTTACATTCACTCAGTGATTCACTGATTCAGTCACACGACGACCTTGGAATTAGTCAATTACTCCCCGGAACTAAGACAAGAGTTTGGAAAAAAGGCAGATGGAGGAAGCGTGTTCTGGTCAGCCATCGAGCTTATGCAGTGGCTCAAACAAAGACATATCAACTTTGGGGTATGTGGTTCTTTCACACAACCTCTCACAACTCAAGCACTAGTCTATAATTAGACCCCACCCACACATTCATTGACTCAATGAGTATATAATGCAATATTACACTACATACTAATAGTAAAGTAATTAGAAGTGGCATTTAATTCCATTGTGAGCTTGAAGCACGTTGTAGAACCTAAACCAACTGCTCTGATATGTGATTCAGTAATCATTTTTTGCAAAAGTGACTTGTTATGAAATAGCATCAAAATTCAAATGTCATATGTGTTATTTTCGGTACATATGGTACATCCTATTCATAGTAGATAGATAATTATATATATTTAGCAATTTAGGGCGAATTGATCACAGTCTCAAAGTTACAGCTCATCCTATGTAACCCTTTATCCTGTCACAGGCTGACTCTGATGGGCCAAAGGCTACATGTGTAGAGCTATCTCCAAGTCAATTGATCTTAGCATGTACATATGATAACATTTTATGAGTCCCTAGAATTTCACATTGAGGTGATGGTAGTCAGATCACAAATGATTAGATGTATGCATATACAGTAAACAGAACACTCGCAATTTTTTGTAACCAACATGTTTTTAACGACTGGTATCTGTGTTGAATGAAAAAAAACTGCTGTCAGCTGTCGAAAATGTCAGATAATTAGTACCCAGACTGCTTCCTCTTCCAGATTGTGAACCAAACAAATCGTTGGTTATATATCCCTTTATAGACAGTCTACAGTATGATGTGGTCTAGTGGTATAAGTCCTACTGCAGTCTACACTGCTGATAATTAGATGATAAAAACTCACGAGGCCTGACTTGGCAGCACTCTGCGCTCGATCACATGAGCCTGCAGTGAGCTGTTCACCATCCAGCTCGGCATTCTAGTGGGTTTACTCTAACTAGGGCAAAGTGGTGATGATCTCTCCCACTCCCCAGCAGGAGGAGCGAATCTAGGGATTGTATAATTGCTGTAATGATATAAATTATTTAGATTCTGCTGATATTGTCTGAATATTGCAATATACACACAGTCAAAACTGTGTTACTGCCTCTGTCAGTGGCCACTTCTGCTGAACAACCGCACGTTCATGAAGGCCACTATTGGTAGTTCCCTTGAAAGGCAGTTATACAGTGAAACCATTACTATAGAGCTGCAAGTTGCAACCTGTTCATAAGTGCCACTTTTGGTATCTCCTTTGAGTGGTTGATGTATATACAGGTTTGACTGTGTACTGAAAACAACAAGCTATTGTTAAACAAATTACACGACTACCCATTACATGAGAGCACTTTTTACTACAGATGGTTTCACGGGGATGTTCCAAGGAATGTTGCTGAAAGCTTGTTGCTACGCAATGGCGTGGATGGCTCTTACCTCATAAGAAACAGTAGTTCACCGGGAGAGTACGCCTTGTCTGTACGGTAAGCTTACTGCTGTGTGAAAGGTAGGCGTGTGTGTCTGCAAAGCGTGTACATACATCTGTGCATAAGATCAGCATGTACCTATTTGTATGGTAACTTTATCAGGTCTGTTTAAAAAGTAGGACTACATTTCTTTGTAAAGTAGGTATATTCCTTCCTATTGGTGTATGACTGACTGTACTGCCACTTTGCACACACCTGTCTGTTGCAACCTGCCTATCTATGTGTGTGTCTGTCTGTCTGTCTGCTTGTCTCAGGGTCTGTCTGTTTGTCTGTGTGTCTGTCTGCCTGCCTGTCTGTCTTGTCTGTGTGTCTATCTGTCAAGTAACAAGTCAACTGACTGTTGTAACTTGTGTATGTGTGTAATGTCTGCAAGCACCTTCCTGTTGTAACCTACCTCTGTATGGCAAGTAGGCGCACTGTCCTGACTGTCGTGGGCATACACCTGTCAGCCATTATCGATGCTCTAACAGTAGTACTAGCGTACTTCAAATGTGTGCAGGTGCAAAGATGCGGTGAAGCACTTCAAGATTCAGTGGGATGGCAGGGAGTACAGGTTTGGCATGGGCGTCTTCGACAACATACAGGACTTTGTCCAACACTTCACGAGTCAGCCTCTTATAGGGGGCGAGTCAGGTTTGTCACGCATGCCAGGCCGCCGCTTGCAGTGTCAATGTGAAAATTTTGGCGAAAACGTTGCAAACTGTTACTACAATAAGCACCTTTTTGTACTTTGCCGTTGTACTGTTCAGAGGGGTCTCGGTTGATTATATGCTTAGTGAATTGGGTTGTTTAGCAATATAACATGCCTTCTTGCATATCCCACAGCAGTATAAACATGTTGTGATCTGATTATCTTTAAGAGATATTTTACAAGCTGTGAAAGCATTATGCGCTTAATCAAATTTCAAGACTACCCCGTACTTACACGTCTGATTATCCACTCAGGTGTACTGACAGTGTTGAAGTTTCCATATCTTAAAAATGCAAAGGAGCCAGCAGAAGTGTTTGAACTCATCAAGATGCACAGAGAGCTGCCCATCTCAGAACTGAAGCCGAGTAGCTCAGTAAGTAGTTTGTTGTGTGGTGATTCATGCGATGCGTCATGCAAGGGTGCTGTCACAATAGTCACATAATTCGAGTGTGTTTAGAAATATCGGTTGCGACCGACCGAGCTCCCTGTGATAAATTTGTAATCTTTTGTGAGTAAGCAATTCATAGTGATAACGTTTCTGATACTACAGGAACAAATTTGTCAGCTCAGTGCAAAGAATCAGCATGCAGGGCTAACTATATCCGTGTAAGTGCTCTTGACGTTGCTACGAGAGTGCGGAAGCCTTTGTGCCAATGGATGTACTTTCTGTGCAGCTATGTGTAGTATTCATGCAGAATTTCTGAAGAGATTCACATAAGTATTATCTTTTGCAGATTGATTATAAGGATGGGTACTTGACAAAACTTGGTGGGAGTGTGAAGGTAAGTTAATCCCCTGTATGTAGATGCAATTAAGATGCGATTGGTGGTTAAGGGTTATCTGATTGTTTGCACTGTATTGGAATAGTCACCACATAGGTCTACACCGCAGCACATTTATGAGTAAACGTGCGAACAAACACGGAATGATTACATATGGATATATATGTATATGTATGTATGTATGAATATATATATATATGCATATATCACGGTATATTATACTGCGGGGTTGTAGGTACACTGCAGTGTGTAATATAGTTATGATGGAGGTGTAATACAAGTGTAATGCTGGTATCATGCAGGATCGATATAGGTGTAATACAGGGGGCCGTTGTCAGAAACATCATAAAGTTAATGCTAATTTATAATTTAGTGTTAATGCTAAGATGACACTTACGACTAATGTTAATGTTACGAGAGGAGCGTTGACAGAAACACATCGCAACTATTAGAAAACTCACGATAACAGGAACTTCATAATTTGATGTCACAAGGCTGCTGATTGGATGAAAATCGATCACAAAATTCAAATTCATACACATTTATTGTACATCACAGTAATTTATGCATATTATGATGGCTAACCACATATAAATAATATTTGATGTAAAACGACGTGGTCATGAATTTATTCTGCACAACAAGACAAATTCTCACACTGTAACACGAGACGCGAGAGTCGTGGTAATTAAAACGAGAACAAATGCCATACGCCATTTGTAAATGTTTTGTTTTGTTTTATTAGCTCATCTGACATAGTCAGATGCAGCTTGTAGAATCGCTTGATCGTCCGTCCGATCGTCCGATCGTCCGA